ATACATCACCTCATCAATCAGGATAAGTGGATTCTCTGTCTTGGTCTTCTTCAGACACTGGATGATTTTTCCAGGCATTGCTCCAACATATGTCCTCCTGTTTTATCAGAAAATGTATTTAGGAAAGAGTTGTAAAACACAGCACATATCACACAGCACAACATGCACCAATGAAATACGTATATCCTGCTGGGAAGCCAATCGAGGGAAAAATCAGTGTGAACCAAAAAGCAAACTAAAGGAATAGGCTGGTTACAGCAAAACAGTCCTGCTGCCAGAACAGCCTGTCCAGGAACAGGCAGACACGGAGCAAGAATGTACCTGAATGAACTCAGGCCTCCCGGCAGGAATGTCAGGAGACTCAGCACAGACCATAGAACATCCCGGAAAACATTTTAAATATTTCTCCTTGATTTTGTATTATATGGAGCACAGCCTGACCCGTTCAATCAATACTGCAGAACAGCAGTTCTTAGTAGTGTGAAAACATTACTAGTTCTAAGGTGTATGTGGAAGGATAACAAATGCCTGGCAGGACCCAATTTACTGATTTTTGCATCTGATTATTGCTGCCATTCTGAAGTTTCATTGTGCAGCACCTCCCTCCTGGTTTGGAGGCCATTCACACATGAGTACATCTGAGTGACCTTGTTCAAACCATCATAATTCCTGAGGACTGGCATGTACAGACACCCAGTTCAGTGCCTTTGGAGCTTGCACAGCTCTAAGGTCTCCCATAAGCAAACACAAAGCAGCAGGGAGTACAACGCACTCATAACGTGTGCATTGTTAAATGTGATTATATTAAACTCATCCCTTTGCCACCATTGTCACCTCCTCCTACACCCCAGCTCCCGGCTGGCAGAGCTGACATTTAATTGCACACATTATCCAACATCAGTTCGGTTCCTAGTTGGACACTGTTGGTGGAAATTGCTGGAAAGAGAAACTGCTCAAGCTGCACTGACCTGTGTCCTTTGATTTCTGCCACGTCCGTCATCCCTCCGACGCTGAAGCGGAAATACTCCCTGTTGAGGGCCCTGGCGATGGAGCGGGCGATGCTGGTCTTGCCAACGCCCGGGGGGCCGTAGAAACAAAGAATCTTCCCCTGGGTGGATCCTCGCAGCTGGCTGACTGCTATGAATTCCTGGGGGACAGAAGCAGCAAAACTGAACACAGGGCAACAGCAGCACCATCAGAGCACACCTGGTACCAGGTCAGATGGTGCTTACAAAAACACTCCAGAGACCACCCTCCTTGGTGTTATTCCCTCCTTGGAATGAGGTGACAATAGCACATAGTAATTTCAAATCAGAATGTGGCCTTCATTGCCACCAGCAGTTAAACACATTAATTGATCGCAAAAACTAGGGCTTCCTGCGTGGTCCATGAATTAACACAAACCAAAAGGAGAGCCACAACCTTGAAGCTGCCCAACTGCCTGATGCCACCCAGGGTAGGAAGTGGGGTGCTCTGCCCATTCCTGCCTTACCAGGATTCGCTTCTTTACATCCTCCATTCCATAATGATCCTCCTCCAGCACTGCCTGAGCTCGGCTCAGCTCCAGGTTCTCCTCGCTGCACTTGCCCCATGGGATGGATGTCAGCCAGTCCAAGTAGTTCCGTGTAACACTAGCAGAAACACACAAAGGACAATGATTTGACAACCTTCATTGCACTCCTTCCTTTCCTAGCTTAAAAGTAACGTATAGATTTTTCTCCCAACAGAATACCCTCCCTTAGCAGCAGAGGATATTGCCGTGCGCTCACTTGAATTCTGAGGAGTGATTATCCAGCAAACTCAGCTTGTTCAGCTCTTCATCTATCACATCCATAACATGCTTTGGCACTACCAGCTCCTTTAGTCGCTCACGGAATTTCTCTTCTATGGCATCCTTGTCCTCTTTTTCCAGACCCAGCTCTTTTTTAATTATCTTCAGTTGCTCTTGGAGAAGATACTTGCGATGAGTCTGCTTGATCTTTTCCTCCACCTAGACACAGCAGCAAATAGGGTATTTTTTTCTGTTCCAGATACTACACAGGAAACAAACATTCCCAAACACACTTCACCTACAACCTGTGTTATCCCTAAAATAAATTTCCCCGCTTAGAGCACCCACCATTGTCTTGCTTTGTAATTCTTCAGCAGCAAAACTAAGTATTACAATGGACAGGGTATAAAGACATGCAGGGCAGGTGCTACTCAAAGACTTACCTCCCTCCCGAGACGCTGCTGAAGTTTGCTCAGCTCATATTCCTTCTTCAGGAGGGAAAGGGCCTTGTAAAGGCGTTTAGGAATCTGCACAAGAAATAAAATAATTAATTACTAGACAAAAAGAATTTTCAGATATGGTACTCTTGTTAGCCTTTCTCACAGGAATTTATAATCCAGAATAAAAAGCTCCTACAGGGCACCCACAAATGGCTCTTGCTGGGAGAAACTTGCCCCAACCCTCCAGCATCCACAGCTACAAAAAGACAAACCTTGTAGCTGTTCAGCAATACGGACCCCACTGGGGAACAACAACTGTTTGCTCCCAAAGGTGCACAGCACCCAGCCTTCCCCTGAAGTTACTCACTATTTAGTACATCCTTCAGCTAGAAGCCAGTCACCGATACTCATCTATCATCACTTGTAGTGCTAAATTGTCCTACTGCGACTACGCTGTCAGGGATATGCCAGACACTTCAATTTGGCTGCTACAGCTCTAGCTCAAAGCTTCCTCTTACACTGGTTTCCTCCAGGATGTCTTGAAGCTCTTGTGACTCTGCCCCCGTTAAGGCTGCTCCCATGTCACTCAAGTAGATTGGGTTATCTACGACGCGCTGTCCCGCCTGCATCATCTGAAGGACCGACTCTCTGGAAAACAGTGGTAAAACCCCCAAAAGATTAATAAACAGTGAATTGCTGCATTCATAAGGAAGCATCCTTAGGCAGCTACTTAACTTGTTAGGACAAGGTTAAAAAAATAAATAATAAACCCAGCTCCACTTTGTGACAAAGTGATTTCATGTTTGTAGTTGATTCAGGCAGTGCTCAGTAACGAATAAAAAAAAATCCTTGACAATTAAAAGGAATGATCTGTTTCATATCAAAGTTTAAGTTTCCTTTCCATTTCTAACAGAGGATGATAAAACTTGCATCCTAAAACAAACTCCTAAGCAAAAAATAAGCAAGTTCCTTATCTTAGTTACTGCAAAAAGACAAGAAAATCTCGGGCTCCTCCAGGGTGACGGACAACCTGCCGCTCCCGAGGCCGGCAGCCACGTACCTGTACAGGGGATTCAAGGCAATGATGTCCCGGATTGTTTTGACAATTTCTGCAGTGAGTGCCTAGTAACACAAGAAGGTTTTCATCAGCAACAAGCTGGAAAACAGGCTGCTCTGCAGAGCAGGCCCTGCCTTGGATGGTTAACTCACCTTAACCTCTTCTGTGATCTGAAAGTCTTCATGAACCACGTTCTCTACTTCCACCATAAGAACCTCCTGCGGGGAGGCGGCCACGGGCTCCAGTACCACCTCCACAGCCTGCTCCTTTGCTCCAGGCTCTTCTTCGGCCTCTTTTCGAGGCCGCTTCTGCTTCCTTCTGATTTTCTGTTTGTTCTCAGACTCCTCAGGCTCAACCTCCAGCTGCTTGTTGATACGAATCCTAAAGCCCAGAGAAACCAGCGACAGTCAATTCTCCTCTATGCCCAGCTACGCCTCTCAAGCAAGAAAAGAGTTGTATTTGGAGTAAACTAAAATGCAACTAAAATCTTCTGCTTCTACAGCTTGTCTTTGGCTTCCGATTGCAGCGTTTCCCTAAAGCTCTCACTAAAGGCACTCGCACAGCGCAGCAGAGAAGCTGCACAGCCTCATTTTCCTTGGGAAACCGCGTGCAGGTGGTGAAGATGCTGCAGGCAGAGACCTGTGCGCGCAGCAGGGCGAGGAACGGAGCTCGTTACCTGCGGTGCCCCATGACGATCATGCGCAGCTTGTCGCCGAGGTCCTGCATCTCGTGGATTTGGACGAACGTGCCCATCTGATAGATCTCATCCAGGTTCTCCACCACGTCCGATTCATTGCTGTGGGGAAAGGAAATAAAGGAGATACTCAGAAAGCGGGATATTCAGAACATCAAGACAGGCGTTACTGAGAAAGAAAGACTGTAAAGAGACTGTAGGCTGACCTAAAGAGCAAAGACATTGACTTTATCCCCTCTGTTACCACCGCACGGGCTGTTTCCACATCACTCGGCTACCTGGATACCTCACCCCTCTCCCAAATAACAACAGGCTTTGCTGCAGCAAGGCTTAGGCCCATAGCAGTGCTCACGGTAGCAGTAAAGGCTGTGACTGTTGGAGGATGGCCCAAACCCTGCGCACACAGTTTCTGCATCACTGCTTAAGGCGGAGAATTTCAAATAATGGATTTAGGGAAAATTCAGCTTGGTCATGGAAATACTTTGTATCAAAAAGCATCAAGAGGCACAACTTACTTATCATCCTTTTTAAGGAAGACGCCAGCATACGGCTGGGCAAGACGAACTTTCCTCCTCAACAGCTCAACCAGCTTCTGGTTTTTCACCTAAGACAAGTTCAAAGTCAGAGGCGGATCTGGAAAACTGTCTCACTCCCATTCGCTGTGCAAGGCCACATTTCTACTGGAACTGAATTATTAGGGACATATGAAAAGTGAGTATCCATGACAAGTGTTTTTGTCCCGCTTTCTCGGAGATCTTTGCCTTTGCAAAGGATCTTCCTGGCCCCAGGGGACGGGCGCACGGAGCGAACTCGGGATTTCCTTAACCTTGTGTGGAGATGGGAGCAAAGGCCGGAGCTCGACGTGCGCGGCGGCAAAGGCGGCAGCGAAGCCCCTGACGCAACGCCGGGCAAGCGGGAATTTCACAAGCCTTTTCTCCAGGA